AACAAATGTTTCCTCCTTTTATTTTTCTCACATATTTTGTCACAGTGACAGAAAGCTGACTCATAATACAGTCCACAAGTTCAAAGTGTTTCCATGATGATACTAAGAGGTGTCGTCCCTTCTGCCCTTTCCTAAGTGTCTGTGGGCCTCTCTAGCAGCGGTACTGTGATGAGACCCCACTCTGACCCCTGAGGAATGTGTGCTGTGTTAACATACCTGCTTCGTTGTCCCTGGGATCAATGTCCATAGGTACAACCCACAAGACAAACCAGGGGTATTTAAGAACCTGAAGAGGTTCTGAAACCAATCAGCTGTGAGCTGCTGGCTTGGCCTTGCTATGTGCTGGGGAATGGCCCCCGAGACACCACACGGCTCTACACTTTGTCTCATGCAGCAACACAGAATTGACAAAGGAAACCAAGCTCCAATCCAGGGTCAAGACCCAACAAATACTGGGACTGGGGCTGCGGCTCAGTGGTGCTCACCTAGTATGTGTGAGGCACTGGGTTTGTTTGATCTTCAGCACCACATAAAAATAAATAAAGGTGTTGTGTCCATCTAAAACTCAAAAAAACAAAAAATTAAAGACCCAACACATTAATTATGCATCATCTGTTTAATACTTTTTTATTATTTCGTACTGGGGATTGAATCYAGGGGTGCTCTRCCACTGAGCTGCATTCCTGGCCCTTTTTTTTTTATTCTGAGGATTTCTCTAAATTGCTSAGGCCTGCCTCTAGCTTGGGATTCTCCTTCCTCAGCTTCCCCAAATTCCTGGGATTAAAGGTAACACCCAGCTCCCAGTTTTACTTTGTAACTTTTAAAGGTATTTGGGAAATAAAAGGATAGATTTCACCACTGGGCCTTGCCTGCACCTTAGCTTTACACAACTGTACCTCAATTCCAGGCAGTTTCCACTCAGGAAAAGCCCTAGCCTCAGGGGACAGCTGTGTTCCCTTTGCCCAGATGGCCCTAGACAAGTGCTTCAGCATGTGGACATCCTCTGTGGGACTTGTTACATTTTGTCTGTTCTGTTTATGAACTGTAACCTCATATAGGATTGCCTTAGAATCCAAGTAACAAATCCTCATGCTAAATAGAACAGCAAGGGTGTTGGGGATGCAGCTCAGTGATAGACTCATTCCCCACCCAGCTCTGCACAGAACAAAAACAGCAAGAACAAACGGCATGCTTTGTGTGAGGCACACCTAAAGCCACCTACAAATCTCATCTTGACCTGACCAGCTCTGCTGCTCCTTCCAGCTGGAGCTGGCCCTGAATTCCAGAAACCAGGACACAGGCTCCTGGCAGGCAGGGAGATCCTAGCCAAGGGCCAACCTGCCAGGGGTTGGCTCGTCCACAAAACAAGGGGGTCTGGAGTAGACCATGGTCCAAATTCTTTCCGAAGTGACCACCTTAAGCAGGAAGCAGTGCCCAAGTCCACTATGCTTCTTTCTTCTTCAGTACCTAGCCTGCTGGTCGCCACCCTGTCCACTGTCTCAGCCCAGCCTGGTTGCTCACCCTCACTGTACATGGCAGCTGACCCATTGGGCATACTCAGCTGACCTGGTTGCTTCCTGGGGTTGCAGATAAGAAAAATCAGCGGAGCAACAAAATAAACAGACTCTGGCCTTCCCAACCTCAGGAGAGCCATCTCCTCTTCTCTGCCCCACCTGGTTCAGGCAGAAGCTCCTTCATGCACCCCATAACAGGCCATGCTGGTCTCCCTGGTCCACCAAAAAGATGTATCTAAAACAGAACTTGTGGCTGGGTGTGTGCTGCTGGGATATTTGAAGCAGCTCAGGAGGCTGAGACAGGAAGATCATGAGCTCAAAGGCAGCCTCAGCAATGAACAATTCAGTGAGACCCTGTCTCTAAATGAAATTCAGAATAGGGCTGGGATGTTGCTCAGTGGTTGAGTGCCTCTGAGTTCAATCCCCGGTACCAAACAAAAAAATAATAATAAAATAAAACAGACCTTGTAATCCCAGCTACTCAGGAGGCTGAGGCAGAAGGATTCCAAGTTTGAGGCCAGCCTCAGCAACTTATGGATACCCTATCTCAAAAAATAAATAAAATTTACAAAAAAAAAAACTGGGCTGGTGACATAGCTCAGTGTTTAAGTGCCCGAGGGTTCAATCCTTGGTGCCAAAACATACGCGCGCACACACACAGCATTTGAGGGGGGCCAACAGTCTTTAGGGATATGGTGTTGGAAATTTCCAATGAACAGGGGACAAGTGTGGGAATGGTAGCGATGCAACTCCCTGGTCTCAAGCTCCTTTCTGGAGGGTAGTAGCTGTCCAAAATTCAGTGGCTTCTTGATTTGTTGAAAACCAATAATGGTCACAGACCATGAGGGTCCAGGAAAAGTCAGCCAGTGACAATCTGTGACCTTGATCAAAGGCCTAAATCTATAGTCCCCCTACTGTTCAGGAAAAGGACAAACTCTGTTCCCAGGTATGAGAAGCTGACTGCTGACCCTGAGCTAGATAGTGAAGGGATGGTCAGTCTGGCCTCAGGCTGCACCCCAGACAGAAGCCGCAGAGGGTCCCCTTCAACTAAATACAGCCCTTTCTTGCTTCAAATATCTTTATCATGTAATGTTTTGAACAACTAATAATAATTTTATATATATATATATATCTTCATCACTCCTCTCTCAAGTGCTTCTAGGATCAGAACAGTAGCAAGCCAAATACTTTGAAAAAACAGCTGTCCATCAGACACCCTGAGCGGATCCCTTTTTGCCAGTAGATGGCCTCCTGGGGTGTTGGAGAACCCCGGGGCATCTGGCCAGTGATGAATGGACTTGCACAGGCAGATTCCAGTGTGGACAAACCACCAGTGAAAACTGTCGTGACCAGGAAGGCCTGGTCCGGCAAGGAATCGAGGAAGTATGCCCTCCAGCCATAGCTCTGGCTTTGCCCTGCTCTGGGGCTCAATTTCCTCAGCCCCCTGGTCACATCAGTCCTGCACCTGCACTGCAGCACCTGAAGACAGATGCTCTCCACACACAGCCCCGAGGAAGAACTTTATGGTGTCCACTTTTCTGTTCCTGAGCCAACCAACGGGGCAAGAGCAGCTAGGCTAGAAAGGGTCAGGCCTGGGGTGTAGTCACAGGATTGGCAAGTGTGAGGAACAGGGCTCATGCTGGGGGCACCTATCACAATCCTGTCGGCAGCCTCCAAGATGGCCCTCAGTGACCCCATCCCTGCTGTCCACACCCTGAGAGAGTCCCTCCCACACGGAGCCAGAGCGGGTCTCAGTGACCATGGCACTGTGTGCGTGGTGGCAGTCATGGCCTACCACTCCTGAGATTAAATCTCAAAGGGCTGTGTCTTGCATCTGGGCCTCTGACTGCTAGTAATTGGCTTTGGGCAGCCTGCTGCTATGTCATGAGTAACCCCGAGAAAGCCACCTGGCAGGGAACAGAGCCTCGAGTGATAACAGCTAGGCCTCTCACCCTGACCAGCTCCCAACTTCAGAGACCCAGCAAGGTGAGTCTCCAAGTCGTGGGTTTGAGGAGTTCCCCATGGAGAGCACACAGCCCTCACCTTTGGAAATCCCTCCTAAGGGCCTGTCAGAAAYCCACACCAAGTCTAAAGGAATGTCGAGAACTTGATACCTATTAGCCCAAATTCTACTTTTTAAAAATATTTTTAGTTGTAGATGGACACAATACCTTTATTTTATTTATTTATTTTTTAATATGGTGCTAGGGGGCTGGGGATGTGGCTCAAGCGGTAGTGCACTCGCCTGGCATGTGTGCGACCCTCTGGGTTCGATCCTCAGCACCACATACAAACAAAGATGTTGTGTCCACCGAGAACTAAAATAAATAAATATTTAAAAATTATCTCTCTCTCATCTCTGTCTTTAAAAAAATATATATATATGGTGCTAGGATCGAACCCAGTGCTTGCTAGGCAAGCCCTAACCCCAGCCCTGTCTTTTCTTCTTTTTGTATCAGGGATTGAATCCAGGGGCTCTTAATCACCAGCCCTTTTTGTTTTATTTGTTTGTTTATTTTTGTACCGGAGATTGAACTCAGGGGCACTGGATCACTGAGCCACCTCCCCAGCCCTTTCTTATATTTTATTTAGAGACAAGGTCTCACTGAGTTGCTTAGTGCCTTGCTTTTTGCTGAGGCTGGCTTTGAACTTATGATCATCCTGCCTCAGCCTTCCAGGCCACTGGGATTACGGTGTGCACCACTGTGCCCAATCCTTTTTAAATTTTGTTGTTTGTTTTGTTTTGAGATAGGGTTTCACGTTACTAATTGCTGAGGCTGGCCTCAAACTTGCAGCCTCCTGATTCCCTGAGATTACAGGTATAGCCACTGTATCTGGCATCTGCCCAATTTTTTTCAAAGGTTTTTTTTGTTTGTTTTTGTTTTTTTCTGAATAAAAATAGACTTTTTATCTTTTCAAGAACAAAATCTTTTTTTAATATTCATTTTTTAGTTGTAGTTGGACCCARTACCTTTATTTTATTTACTTATTATTATGTGGTGCTGAGGATCGAACCCAGGACTGTGGAGCTGGGGTTATAGCTTGGTGGTTGAGTGCTTGTCTCGCATGCATGAGGCACTGGGTTCAATCCACAGCACCACATAAAATAAGTAAAATAAAGATAAAAAAGAACAAAATCTGTGTACAAAGTCTTGTTGTGCATATGATGAGTAAGACCCAGATAGGTGATAGCTAGGAGGGTCAGGGATGTGGCTCAGGGGCACAGCACTTGTCTAACATGCCAGAGGTCCTGGGACAGACCCCCAGCACCCCTGCCCCCAAAAAGGGATGTGAGAAGTTGTTTCCTAAGAATCATCTTTGGTTCAGAAACAAGATTTACTGAGGGGTGGGGTTGTGGCTCAGAGTAGAGTGCTTGCCTAGCATGTGTGAGGCACTAGGTTTGACCCTTAGCACTACATAGCCTGCTGCTATTTAGTGTCCACCTGTAACTAAAAAATAAATCTTAAAAAAAAAATTTTACTGAGATCCACAGACATGAAGTTGTTTATTGAAGCATTCCTCAAGTAGTATTTTACAGACAGCATCCCAATACCAGACTAGCGTTTGGCCACAGACCTCAACCCAGCTTCAACAAGCTGAGCACCCCAGTGTCATGACCACAGGCGCCATGACCACAGCATACAAGATTCTCAGAGGCCAGTTCGGGGAGAGAGCACCAGGCTAAAAAACAGTTCACAAATTTAGTTGAGGCCACATTAGGGAAGAAGCAAACAGTTATTTATTCAAATATTAATAAGGAAGCCTATGGGGCTGGAGATATAGCTCAGTTAGTAGAGTGCTTGCCTTGCATGCACAAGGCCCTGGGTTCATTCCCCAGCACCACCAAAAAGAAATAAAGAAAACAAAAAGCTTTTAGTTTAAAAAAAAAAATAAGGAAGCCTAGATCTTTTATTTATTTATTTATTTTAGTTATAGTTGGACACATACCTTTATTTTTATTTATTTTTATGTGGTGCTGAGGATCGAACCCAGTTCAATACTAGGCAAGCGCTCTACCGCTGAGCCACTACCCCAGCCCCAAAAAAGGAAGCCTAGATCTTAAAAAGGACCCAAAAGATCAACTTTTTTTTCAGAATTTTTTTTTTTGGGGGGTTACTGGACATTGAGCCCAGGGGCAATCTACCACTGAGCACATCCCCAACGCTTTTTTTTTTTAGTTGTTGATAGACCTTTATTTTATTTATTTATACGTCGTGCTGAGAATCAAACCCAGTGCCTTACACATGCCAGGCCAATGTGCTACCACTGAGCCACAGCCTCAGCCCTCCAATGCTTTTTATTTTTTGAGACAGATCTTCCTAGGTTGCTGAAACTGGCCTTCAGCTTGTGATTCTCCTGCCTCAGCCTCTGAGCTGCTGGGCTTACGGTTGTGCACCACTGCACCTGACTTTTTTCAAAAATGTTAAAATATTATTCCTGTTTTGTAGATAAGACAATGAGGATCCAGGAGCAGCTTGTCTGAAGCCCTTCGGCTGTTGACGGAATCAGGCCCAGGCCCAGGCCTCCTCCATGTCAACATGGAGCAAAGACACAGCTGAGTAGGGACCGTCACTCTGCTCACGGCTCCTTCCAACAGTCTCAACATACATGTGATGCCTTCCCCTTAATGGACTGAACGTCTGGTGCTACCTGGCACCTGGTGCCAGGATAGCCATCCACAAAGCTAAGAAGGCCCTGACTCAGACCATTCCCCAGGAGACTGCCTCTCGCAGATATGCAAGGACCAGACGGTGCAGGGAGCCAGGCTGACACTTCCTTGACTGCCACGGTCAGCAAGCCAAGCTGTTAACAAGGAAGCGAGAATGAGTGAACACGGTGCAAGTGTTTGAGAGAAAATAAAACCCTACCCAGTAGGGCAGCGGGCTGCGGAGTGAGCCTGAGGTTGAAGGACAGTCCAGGCAGCTGGCCTGCTGGATACTCAGACGTAGTCCTGACTACCCAAGGCCTGTGACGTGATGGGACAGCAGAAATCACCATTCACCTCTCGCCTGCAGGACCTGGGGCACAGCCTCTGGACCAAGAGTTGATAGTCTCTTTCCCAGGCTCTCATTTCTCATGACATCTTCATAATAATTCCTGGATGCAAACAGCTTCTGGCTCATGAATGGCTTTCACATACATTTACTGCATTTTATCTTTGCAGCAACTCCGTGGGAAGCCCAAGGCTGATATTAGCCTGTCTTTGCAAATAATTATTATCCCCATTTTACTGATGAGAAAATTGAGGCTGGGAGCATTAACAACTTGCTCAAGGGGCTGGGAAGGACAAAGCTCAGGGTCTTTCCCCAGAGGCTGCCAACACCTTGCTTCTGAGTGAACCACCAGGCAGTGGCCCAACAGCAGTGGCTTTATTTCAAACATTAATAGGCCTGCTTCTTACACTCACACCACAACATGCAAATTCATTAGAGGCTTTGAGTCACAAACCCTCTAAACACACAGGCAAGAAGGGCTAGGGTACAAGAAAATCTTTGGAAGTCTGAATACAGTCACAAGACAAGGCTGGGGAGAGTGCAGGGGGACAGAGCCAGGGGGAGGGAAAGTGGGTGAGGAAAAACCCTCTGACTTGGTCTGTGAACCAAGGAAAGGACACAAAGTGCATGAGGAACAGGGAAGATGGGTGGATCCGGGAGATTATAAGAGAGGGGCTGGGGATGTGGCTCAAGTGGTAGTGTACTCACCTGGCAGGCGTGTGGCCCGGGTTCCATCCTCAGCACCACATACAAAAAAACAAAGATGTTGTGTCCACCAAAAACTAAAAATAAATAAATAAATATTTAAAAATTTTCTCTCTCTCTCTCTTTAAAAAAATATAAGAGAAATGGCAGGAAGAGCAATCAGTACTGACTCAGCAGTCCTGGGCCTAGGGACTACTCTCTCCACAAGCCCACAGAATAAGCCACACACACAGGGAGCAATAGCTGGTGCAGAGCTTAATGCAGGCGGGCAGGACACCTAACACTCACCCAGGCCTTTCAGGTTCAGGTTGAGGCACAGGGCAGGTGTGTGTGGCCCCTGGTTTGCCAGGCCCAATAGTGAGTGCAGGCCCATGCAGTCAGACCACCTTAGAAGCTGCCACCAACTTTAACTGTGATCTTGGGCGTGGTATCTTTTAATTTTTCTGAATCATTTTCATTATAAAATAGTGATATCAGAAGTATTTACTGAGTTGTGAATATCAACAGTGTTTGATGTGGAGCCAGACACTACTCAGCACTCCAAAATATTAGTTATTGTTATAATTGTTCATTATAAACCTGGGAACAGAAATACAGAGATAAGTGTAAGTCACTGTAACCCTTCTCTGTAGCAGATCCGACTGCTCTTGGGCACTCACTCTGGACCTGGGTAGACCCCATACCCAGTGGCCCTCACGGCTGCACTGGGTGGATAGCAGGGACTTGCCTGGGCTAGGAATGCAGCTGCCGTGGGATGAGACAACAGATCCCTCTCCCCATTGGGGAGCAGTGCCTCCGCATTTCCCATGAGCAACAGTGGGCTTATGCAATGCCTGGGCCATAAGCCTGGCAGGGTGCCATGTGACTTCCAGAGGTGAGTCAGCTGCCTCCAGCAGGGTGCAGCTGAGCTGGTCCAAGATGGCTATCCACATGAAACCCAAGGTCTGCAGAACAGATACTCCACTCCTGACCAAACTATGGAGTGGTTAATACTCTCCTTTCTAAAAGTTGTTAATCTGCTCTTCCTGCTACAGATTGAAGTTTTTGTTTCTAGGCTTCCAAGATTGAAGGAAAACAACTGTTCCCTTCCTGTGCACACTGACCCTTGGCAGCTTGAGCTCGCGTTCCTCAGCCCTCCTCTGGCCAGTGAACGACTAACCTGCCCTTGATCAGCAACTTGTGGCTTGGGAAGGCCTCCTTCCTTCTTTTCTGAGATAGGGAATGCAGATCTGGGTGGAGTTTTACTCAAACATAGGCTGGGCCACGCGTGGGTGGTGCAGACTGGGATCTCAGCCACCCGGAGGATTATAAGTTCGAGGTTAACCTCAGCAAGTCGGCGAGACCCTGTGTCAAAAAAATCAAAAAAGTGCTGGGGATGTAATTCGGCAGTAAAGCACCCCGGTCCAATCCCCAGTACCAAAAAAAAAAAAAAAAAGGCGCTGCAATATAAACGCCCGGAGATGGCTTCCCGCTGGAGGGCGCGGCGTCAAGTCCCCCAGGCCGCAGACCCTGCGGAGTGTCCAGCACGGGAGTGTCCGGCGGGTCGACGTCGCCGGGCTCACGATTGGACTCCAGGCGCTTAGTAAATCGTAGGGCCTCCTGAATTGGGATGCTCACGGGTCACGGGCGAAGACCAGAAGGCCACAAACGCGCAGGCGCCCGAAGGTTGCAGTTCCAGACCTCTACTGGAACCGGAAAGCGTCGCGAAGGTTCACCCCGATTTTCCCGGCTGCAGACCGCGCAGGCGCCCCGAGGACTTACCTCCACCCCGCGCCACCGCCCCGACGCGCAGGCGCCTTGAGGACTTACCCCGCCCCGCCCCGAACGCGCCGGCGCCCCCGAGGTGCACCACTGCGCAGGCGCGGCCCCGGGACCATGGCGGCCGCGTTGCTGCTCCTGCGCGCCCTCCGCCGAGGACCCTGGCCGGGTCCGGAGCGGCTCTGGGGCCCGGGCCTCCTCGCCGGGGCTGGGAGCAGGCGGCCGTACGTGGTCCGCAGGCCCCCGGTGGGTGTCGCCGAAGCTGGCGGCCGGGCCCTGCAGGTAACCCCGCCGCAGCGGCCGGGCCCCGGGTGGGGTCCATCCTTTGGCCCGCCTCCTGGGCCCGGCCCGGGGCTCGCCGTTTCCGGCGCGGCCGGCGCCCCCCGGGCCAGGGGGCTTGTTGGCGTGGCCGCGGGCTCGTTACCGACGGAACGCCCCGCCGAGCGCGCCCGTCCGGCTGCCGCGCTCGCGGGGACGCGCCTCTGAAGTTTCTGGAAAGACTGGCGGGCTCCCGGCCTGCGGTGCCGCGCTCTCACGTCCGTGTTTATTTTTCAGAGTTTGCAATGGCGAACGCTAACCCCAACCTTTGAAGGGATCAGGGGATTGTTACTGAAACAGCATCTACTTCAAAATCCATTCAGACTCTGGCAACTTTTAGGTGTGTATCTATTGAAGCTGAAGTGACAGTGACGGGGCAGAGGTAGTGGCATGGGCGAATAGACTCTTGCTTCCATCAGCGATGAACCACGTGGAGAAGAGTGATCCTGCTACCTCCCCCTGCAGGGTTGCAGCCTAGGAGCCGGAGGCCGGGGCGTGTAGCAGGTGCTGCCACCTAGGATAGAGTCGCTTAGGGAAGCACCTCTCTCCCAAAATGTCCTCAGAGTGACATATCCCTGGTTAGGATAATGGTACCAGCTTGGCATTGACAAGAAAATGGGAACAATCACAAGAGGACCTTTGTCCTCTATTTATTATGAGTCCTGTGAGAGCCACAGTCTAGATGATTCGAAGTGAAGTTTTTCAAAAGGGGAGTTTTGTCGAAGGCCCAAAAAGATGATTTTGTTTTGAGGTTTTTGGCACTGGCAATTGAATTCAGGGGCACTGAACCACATCCCCAGCTTGTTTTGTATCTATTTTTTTAAATATTTTTAGTTGTAGATGAACACAATACCTTTATTTTTTTTAATGTGATGCTGAGGATCGAGCCCACTACCCCTCATGTGTGAGGCAAGCATTCGACCACTGAGCTACAACCCCAACCCCATTTTTTTATTTTTTATTTTGTGACATGGTCTTGCCAGGTTGTGTAGGGCCTCACTAAGTTGCTGAGTTTGGCTTTAAATTTTGATCCTCCGACTTCAGCCTCCTAAGCCACTGGGATTATAGGCCTGTGCCAAAGTGCCACCCCCTTTTCTTTTTTTCTTTGAGAAAAGGCCTCACTAAATTACTGAAGCTGGCTTTGAACTCCTGACCCTCCTACCTCGGCCTCTTGAGCCACTGGCTTTATGGGCATGCACCACCTGCCCGGCTGTAGTTGGCTTTCTTTCTTTCTTTCTTTCTTTTTTTTTTTTTTTCATTGCAAATGGTCACAATACCTTGATTTAATTTATTTATTTTTGTGTGATGCTGAGGATCAAACTGAGGGCTTCACATACTTGAGGCGAGCACTCTACCACTGAGCCCCAGTCTGTAGTAGGCTTTCTTGGAAAAGGTTTTTATTATTATCTAGTTAGCTCCCAGAACATCGTAGTAAGTATCTATAAAATGGCTCCAAATGTTTTATATCTAGAGGGTAATTAAAAATACCCTACAACCAGCTCGTCATAGTGGCACACGCCTGAAATTCAGCGGCTCTGGAGGCTGAGGCAGAAGGGTCACAAGTTCAAAGCCAGCCTCAGCAACTTAGTGAGGCCCTAAGCAACTCAGCCAGACCCTGTTCCTAAATAAAATATAAAAAAGGGCTGGGGATATGGCTCAGTGGTTAAGCACCTCTGGGTTCAATCCCCAGTACTAAAAAAAAAGTACCCTACAAATAATTTGCTTGTTGTTGGAGTGCACCATTGAGTGAAACACTGTGACATTCTGCAGCCTCTTTGAACTTAGGTTCAAGGACCTGGAGGATTGAGGCCATAATTTCACTCCTTCTCACCCAGCTGAAATGGGGAAAGTGAACTAGGTAGACTAATGTGGTCAGAAAGTGCTGTGCCTACCGATTGGTTGTGCCTCAGCATGTCATTTATGTGTTTCAGTGCTTCATTTGTGCCCAGTGGCGCTGAGACAGGAGGCCCATACCCCAGCCCTCCAGAACTCCTGATCTTGGTTTCACATGACAGTCAAGGTGGTCTGCTTGGCATTCTATTAAAGTTTGTGAAAAATGTTGCAGTTGAAGTCATGGTTGTGATAATTCCCCATTTATTCAGAATTGGGATAAGACCAGAGGTTTCCCAAGTTTTCTGGGACAGTGCCTGGGTTGCTGCTTTTGTCACATGTGCCAAAGCCACTTATGTTGTTCCTTTGTTTAGTTCTGTTTATAGCAATGTAAGTGATTGTTCTCCAACAAAATATAACGTTTTTTCCAATTTATGTTCCAGACATGTTTTTTTTCAGTGCTAGTGATAGAACCCAAGGCCTTGCAAGTGCTAAGCTCTACCACTGAGCTATTCTCCCTTTTATTTCCTCATGTTAACAAATTTAAGTAGCAGAGGTATTTGACTTCATATGTTGAAATAGTTTGTTATTTTCTAATTAGCAGATACAGTACTGGGAATGATGAAAGGGAATATTTCATCTCAGACTTACAATTTTTTTAACCTTTTTTTTTTTTTAAAGAGAGAGAGAGATAGAATTTTTTTAATATTTATTTTTCAGTTCTCGGTGGACACACATCTTTGTTGCATGTGGTGCTGAGGATCGAACCCGGGCCGCACGCATGCCAGGCGAGCGTGCTACCGCTTGAGCCACATCCCCAGCCCACCTTTATTTTATTTATGTATATTTATGTGGTGCTGAGGATTGAACCCAGTGCCTCACGCATGCTAAGCAAGTGCTCYACCACTGAGCTACGACCCCCGCCCCAGACGTAACAACTCTTGTAGACACAAGTTTCAGGTGGTTTTTGGTGTGATTTGGTTATTTGAGAATGTTTTGTTCTCTTGTGTGTCTCCCCTGTAGTTGGAAATCTTGGTTAGGTTCTTTCCCTGTTGCTTGTAGGTGGTACTTACTATTTCAACACCTCAACGATGAAGCAGAAAAATAATGACAATGATAAATCCAAGAGGAAGGCCCCTGAAGATGACGAAGGTATGCATATCTGGTGTTCTGACACAGTGGCTCCATCTGCTTGTCCTCACGTGTGCTCGCCGCTTGGCAAGGTGAAGCCTGTGTGGTACAGYGAGGGGAGCCTGGGGACTGTGGGTGCTGCCCTTGTGCCCCCGCCCCCACCTCTGTCTGACTGCTGGGTCCTTTGTGCATGTTGTGTGGAGATGTATCCATGGACACCTGTGCCTCTGCACAGAAAGTGTGAGTCTCAAATCTGCCCCAGGAGTACCAGAGTGCCTTGGCTGAAATAGCCCTAACCACCTGTTCAGTGTTGCCACGGTCCCTGGGCTTGGGAAGCAGGCCCCAGAGGAAACAGTGAGGGGGAAAGGACAGTTGAGGAGGACAGACGAAGTCCAATGTAAGAGTTACTTTTCGTACCGGTCAGTCTGCCCCACTCTAGACCACAGCTGACTCGCTGCTCACTTGCAGAATCTAAGGGTATGCTGCGTATCTTGGTCTCACCCTTCCTCTAGACTTAGGGCTCCTTCAACAGTGTGAGGGATGAAGGAAATAAAATAGTAAGTTTGACTTAGTTTCTGAGACCTCTATCTAAGATAAAGCTGGGTTTTTGCTTTTAGCCGTTTGGCACTAATATTAATGATGGAAATTGTCACTCCTTAGAAATTATTGGTGTGTGCTTCACACTGTGGTGAATGATTTACATACTTTATTTTTAAATGGACACAATATCTTGGCTGGGGCTGGGGCTCAGTGGTAGATCACTTGGCTCACAAGTGTGAGGCCCTGGGTTCGATCCTCAGCACCACATATAAATAAAGAAAGAAAGAAAGAAACAAAGAAAGATAGATATTGTGTCCATCTACAACTAAAAATTTTTTAAATGGACACAATACCTTTATTTTTATTTTTATGTGGTGCTGAGGATTGAATCCAGTGCCTCACACATGCTATGCAAGTGCTCTACCACTGAACCACAACCCCAGCCCACTCTTATTTTTTAAGGCAGGGTCTACTAAGTTGCTTATGTCCTTGCTAAATTGCTAAGACTAGCCTCAAACTTGCCATCCTCCTATCTCAGCCTCCTAAGTTGCTGGGATTACAGACATGCACCACCACACCTGATCCATCTCTTGTTTTTTTTTTTTCTTCTTTTTTGTTTTTATTTTTATTTTATTTTGATACTGGGGATTGAACTCAAGGGCACTTTACCACTAACCTACATTCTCAGCCCATTTTATTTTATTTTCTTAGTTGTAGATGGACATAATTTTTTATTTATTTATTTTTATGTGGCGCTAAGGATCAAACTTAGGGCCTCACACATGCTAAGCAAGTGCTCTACCACTGAGCCACAACCCTAGTCCTAACCTTTTTTTTTTTTTTTTTTTAGAGAGAGTGAGAGACAGTGAGAGAGAGGGAGAGAGAGAGAGAATTTTAATATTTATTTTTTAGTATTTGGCGGACACAACATCTTTGTTTGTATGTGGTGCTGAGGATCGAACCCGGGCCGCACGCATGCCAGACGAGCGCGCTACCGCTTGAGCCACATCCCCAGCCCGTCCTAACCTTTTTATTCTTTATTTTGAAACAGGACCTTACTAAATCCCTGAGGTAGGCCTAGAACCACCAATCCTTCTGTCTCAGTTTCCCGAGTAGCTGGGATTACAAGTTACATGCCACTGTGCCCGTCTTTAGATCACAAAATAAACTTCATTCAAATGGAATGTGTTTAATTGGAGAGAAGTTTGTTGATAGGTAAAGAATTGGGATCATGCTGGGCACAGTGGTACAAACACCTGTAATCCCAGCAATTCAGAAGGCTGATGCAGGAGGATTACAAGTTCAAGGCCAATCTCAGCAGTTTAGCAAGACTAAGCAATTTAGCTGGACCCTGTCTCACAATTTAGTGTGATGATTGATTGATTGATTGATTGATAGATATCAGAGATTGAATGAACCCAGGGGTGCTTAAACCACTGAGCCACATCCCAGCCTTTTATTTGAGACAGGATCTCATTAAGGCCTGGCTAAATTGCTGAGGCTGGCTTTGACTTGAGATCAGCCTTGGCCTCCTGAGCTGCTGGGAGGTGTGCATCATTGTGCCTGGCTCAAAATAAGAATTTTTTTTTTTTTTTTTTAAGAGAGAGTGAGAGAGAGAGAGAGAGAGAGAGAGAGAATTTTAACATTTATTTATTTTTTCTTAGTTCTCGGCAGACACAACATCTTTGTTTGTATGTGGTGTTGAGGATCGAACCCAGGCCGCACGCACACTAGGCGAGCGTGCTACCACTTGAGCCACATCCCCAGCCCCGAAGAAATTTTTTTAATATTTATTTTTTAGTTATAGGTGGACACAATATCTTTATTTTATTTTTTTTTATGTGGTGCTGAAGATTGAACCCAGTGCCTCACGCATGCTAGACAAGGCTCTACCTCTGAGCCACAGCCCCTTATACTTTATTTAAAAGGGTCTCACTGAGTTGCTTAGGGCTTTGCTAAGTTGCTGAGGAAGGTGGCTTTGAACTCATGATCCTCCTTTCTGAGATGCTGGGATAGGACAAGTTCTTGTGGGGTTTTTTTTGTTTTTTGTTTCCTCCTTGTACTGGGAGGTGAACCCCAAGCACTCTACCACTGAGCTCTATCCCTAACCCTTTTTATTTTGAGACATCAACTCAGGAGGACTGGGCTGGAATTTGCAGTCTTCCTGAGTTGCTGGGATTTTAGGCTGCATCGTTGCACCTGGCCAAGATTCTCATATTTTATAGAACACGATCCAAAGACAAAATCACAGGGATAGGGAACAGAGTGATGGTTGTCAGGGCCTGAGGTTGGGGCCACGAGGGGTACTCTGGGCTGCAGTGGTGGATGCAACCACATACGGCTTTGGCAAAGCAAGTGAGCCCATGGCTGTCGTGTCTGTGTCTGGCTGTGATTGCTCATTTGCTCATGGGGCGAAGGGACAAGGATGGCCATCTGTTCCTGTGCATCTCCATGATCTCATAGTATGTTTAGCTGGGAGCAGGAGTTGCAAGGTTTCTGGGCAGCTGTGTAGAGTTCCTTCATTGTGTCCAGGGGCCCTTGTCCTCATCTTCAGGGTCACTCCAGGTGACCTTCAGGTTTAGCACTGTGACCCCCACAGGCTCAGTAGGAGGATTCTAGCCTGAAAACCTGATTGGCTCCCGTCACCGTTCACCGTCCACCAGGGCAGCCTGTCTTCAGGTTGCTGGCTCGGCATTCGACACCCTCCTAGCAGCAGTTTTGGCAACAAGGCTTGCCAGCGGTCCCCAGGCTGCTGTCCCGTGGACATGCCTTACGATGGCTTAGGAGGCTGGTGCAGCTCCTGAAGACCTCTGGGGCAGCACTGTATCGGGGGCTCCAGCAGGAGACACTTAAGTCTGATGCTCAGCTCTCTATAAGCTAGCTGATTATGAGCCAAGTACGTGTGTGGGCAGTGCACAGGAAGAATTCCTGGAGCGTCCAGTGAAGGACGGTGCTGGAGGCCTCGGCAGCTCTCATGTCCTTTAGGAATTGAATATTGGGATTGGTTTGCAGAGAAGTCCAGGGCTTTGTGGGAAGTAGGCGGGCCTTCCAGGTGGAGGAGCTCTCCTTTAAGCTCTGAGTGATTGAATGTTGTCTACTGTTCAGGATACCAGGGTCRGGGGGTTTGTGTGTGGGTGTGTTTTTGGTTTCTTTCTTTCTTTTTTTTTTAAATAGTATTTGTAGTTATACATGAACACAATACCTTTATGTTGTTTATTTAATTCTTTTATGTGGTGTTGGGGATCAAACCCAGTACCTCACTTTTGCTAGGCAAGTGCTCTACCACTGGCCCCCAGCCCCCAGGGTCTGGTTTTATTCCATCTATACCTCAAAGATCCTTGTCTGCAGGCGAGTGTGGTGCTGCACAACTGTAATCACAGCTGCTCAGGAGGCTGAGGCAAAAGGTTCACAAGTTCTCTGCTGCCTGGGCAACTTAGTGAGGCCCTAAGACCTAAGACCCTAGCTCTAAAAGTAAAAAGGGCTGGGGACGCGGCTTAGTGCTAAAGTGCCTCTGGGTTTAATCCCTAATACCCCAAAACATAAAAAAATAAAATAAAAATTGCTGGAAATGCAGCTTGGAGATAGAATGCTCCTGGGTCTAAAATATCCCTGTGCAAAAAAAAAAAAAAAAAAAGGCTTTTCTAGTCAATAATATGTGAGTCTCATGGGTCCATCATTCCTCACTTTTCCCTTTGTCTCTAGTGAGGGCTTTCAAGGTTTTGTGCCTGATGGATCACATAGACACACGTGGGGTCTCCAAAGATTGTTTCCTTAGGTTCAAGTTTCAGAAGTAGAACTAGTTAGAACTAGTGAATTAAGGAARCTGAATGTTCTCTGTGGGCCCTGACACGGGCTCCCAAGTGGCTCTCAGACAGGACTTTGCTGGTTGTGCCCAGGACTGTGCTCGAGGTCCGCGTGCCTACAGGCCTTTGTAACAGTGTGCCACTTCCTCCTGCAGTGCCTTTGCTCACTGCTGGAAGGCACCTCTGTGGGTCACCCTCCTTAGTGCCAGTGGAGGAGGACACAGAGGCCAGAGAGGCTCTCATGGGAAACCTGAGCCATTTTCACCTAGGATCTCAGCAAGTTGTCACGGGGCTTTAGAGGTAGTATAGGGCTTGGGTTGCTTCTCCCCGTCGCCCTTCCAGAACGGAGGTGGCCTTGACSGTCTCCTTGAAGAGTGTCATGAGGTGATGAGTTAGCATGCTGAGCTAATTATTATTTGAATTTTTTTTTAATATTTAGTTTTTAGTTATAGGTGGACACAATATCTTTGTTTTTTTTATTTTTGTGTGGTGCTGAGGATTGAACCCAGTGCCTCACGCGTAGTATGTGAGTGCTCTACCTCTGAGCCACAACCCCAGCCCCTGAAAATGTTTTTTTTTTAATATTTCTTTCTCTCTTTCTTTTTTTTTTTTTTAGTTGTAGATGGACACAATACCTTTATATTATTTATTTTTATGTGGTGCTGAGGACCAAACCCAATGCCTCCTATGTGCTAGTCGAGCGCGCTACCGCTAAGCCACAACCCTAGCCCTAATATTATTTTTTAAAATATTTATCTTTTAGTTGTAGTTGGACATAACACCTTTATTTCACTTGTTTATTTTTGTATGTAGTGCTGAGGATCAAACCCAGGGTCTCACACGTGCGAGGCAAGCACTCTACCACTGAGCCACAACTCCAGCCCAGCCCTAATATTTTTAATTGTAGGTAGACACAATACCTTTATATTATTTATTTTTATGTGGTGCTGAGGATTGAACCCCGTACCTTATACATGTGAGGCAAGCACTCCACCACTAAGCTACAACCCCTGCCCAAGAGTTGGGGTTTTGTTTAAAAAAAAAAAAAAAGAAAAGAAAAGAAAGAAGAGTTTGTTGAAGACAGAGCCGAAGCTGTGGTTTTACTTTCATTAGAAAAAAAAATTTTTTTATCTTACACAAAGTACAGAATTTGGCTTTATCTTAAAAAAAGCAAGCCATGTCACCGTTGTCTTGGTCTTTTTTTTAATTTTTTTTTTAGTTGTCAATGGATCTTTTTTATTTTATTTATATGYGGTGCTGAGGATCAAACCCAGGGCCTCACACATGCCAGGCAGGAGCTTTACCGCTGAGCTGCAACTTCAGCCCTTGTCTCTTTTTTTTTTTAGTTTTATTTTTTTGGCAGTGCCAGCGATTGAGCCCAAGGCCTAGTGCATGCTAACACTGCCTGTGCTACATCCCCAGCCTGCTCCACGTCCTTTAAAAATCATACACTGCTTCACATTCTGTGTACAAAGGCTGTGAGTTCATAGAACTGCTTCAGACACCTTTCTTGCACGGGGTGTACAGGTGTTGTAGGCAGAGGCTTAAAAACGGCTTCACATTATCAGAGGTGGGAACTGTGCTTCCTTCCTCTGAGGTGGCCTCAGATGGCATACCAGTAGCATTTGTATCCAGGAACTGTTGACACCCTCCCCACTTGGAAGCAGGCTTCCCCAAAGAAAGGGTGTGGGGACTGAGCCCTGGGGGCCATGCCTGATTCTTCCTGCACTCTGTCCAGAGGAGAGGAGAAGGAAGCAGCGGGAGGACCAGATGTACCGCGAGCGGCTACGCACCCTGCTTGTCATCGCCATCGTCATGAGCCTGCTGAACTCTCTGAGCTCCAGTGGGGGCAGCATTTCCTGGAACGACTTTGTCAAGGAGATGCTGGCCAAAGGCGAGGTGCAGCGTGTGCAGGTGGTACCTGAGAGCGATGTGGTGGAAGTCTACCTGCACCCTGGAGCCGTGGTGTTTGGGCGACCTGTGAGTGGGGGTGTGGGTGCCCCTGGAGACTGGGCAGTTTCCTTCTTGTTTCGCCCTGCTCCTGTCGTGTTGAGTGTGCATCCAGATTTAAAGTAGGACTGGAGTTTCTTGCACAGTGGCTTGCACAGGTGGAACATGAGAAAAGTCAGAGGGAGCTGACCACAGAGGCAGCATTGTTAGCAGGGTCACATTGGTGCCAGTGGCCCCAGCAGCCATGGTGGCTGTGTTTAGGAGTAGGTGGAAATAAGTGACAGAATGCTGACTTGTTGGCATTGGGTCTAAGGAGATGAGACCTTCCCAGACCTGTAGGTCTCTAGCATGGGAAGTGTTGGCTAGGAAATCAGAAGATGAGGCTTTTACCGAGGTTGCGCAGATGCAAGTGAGTTGAGGTGGCAGGGAATTGTCCCAGTGGAAAATTATCATAAGCAATGTGAGACACAGCTGGAGATGGACAGTGTAGGGCAGGTGGGGGAGCAGATGATGCTAGCTGCCCAGTGATGTACACTCAGGGCTGGCCAGAGGTGCAGGTTGGAGGAGGAGCGGGCCACAGCCAGAGGAAGAGAGGGACTGCTCTAGTCCAGCCTGGGCATCCAGCCCTGGGAACCAGTGTGATCCACACTGCCGGGGAGAGGTCTGAAACTGGCTCAGGGGAGACCCTTGTGCTCAGGGCCCAGCTTGGGGCTCCAGCTGGTAGGAGTGCCCTTCCATGCAAGTGGGAGAGTTCCTCCTTAGGAAGCACCCTTCTTTTCCTCTTCTGCACCAGAGGAGTTTCCTGGGAAGGTAACTGCAGCATGGGGTGGGCTGACCTGGGCAGCTCCAGGGTACATGGCCACCCTCACTCACCCAGCCCCACCCCAGCTCAGTGCCATGCTGGCCTCCTTGCCAGCCTGCTTGTCCTTCCTGAGGCAGGGACATTGTGTGTGCAGAAATGCCATCCATAAGTACGAAAGCACGAGTGCCAGGCCTCGGCCTCCTGAGCACACCATGCACTCAGGTGTCGGCCAAGTTCCCTCTGCCTCCCGGTTGCCACCTCCTCACTTCTTCCGGAGCTCTGGAGATTGTTTGGCTTCCTTGTTGAACTTCTTATTCTACGCACCTGGTGTTATTCTTGGTCAGCCTGAGGCAGAAGCTGACCATTTTCCTGTCTCTCCCCAGCCTTAGTCAAGAATATTGGCCATCTTAAAATTTTAGAAGTACAAGACAACCAGACAAACATGATGGCTAAGTGCAGAAGACGACACAGGTCCGCACACATACCCAGGGGGATGCATGGCATGGTGACTCTGAACCTCTAGGTCCATCCATCTTGATAGTCCTGGGGATTGAACTCAGAATCCTTTACCACGAGCTACATCCCCAGCCCCTTTTTATTTTTTGAGACTCATTCTCACCAAGTTGCCTAGGCTGGCCTTAAACCTGTGATCTTCTTGCCTCAGATGCCTGTGTTGCTGGTATTGCAAGTGTGCACTGCTGTCCCAGGCTTCAGTATATTAACTTACAATATTATGCCGGATTTTGACAAGTCATCTAGTAGAATAGCTCCCTTAAAGTTTTCAGAATTTTATCTTAGCAATTTGGGGCACATGTGAAAGGGCAGTAGATGTTACCTCCTGTCCTTGTCCTTATCCTATGCTGGAGCTACAGCAACCCTAGAGACAACTAGGGAGTCTCTTTCCTCTCTCTCAGCTGGTGGCCATCCCCAGACAGGCTCAAACGTGAGCTAGACATGTAGATCCTAACGAGGAGTACTAGTTGGGGGATAAGTCTCAGGGAGACCAGTTTTGCAAAAGGCAGTGAGATGTGGATTTAAAATGAAGAGACCCACTTAATTGGTTTTCAGATTCACCCATAATGCCTCTGTTGCTGCAGTATCCTGAAGCGTTTGTCTGTGGCGAGGTGTCTCAGTGATACTGGCATCAGGTCTGTGCTGTATACAGCTGAGCCAGGCACACGTCAGAGGCAGGTAGTGACTTTACAATGCAAATGTCTGCCTTTTTTTTTTTTTTTTTTTTGTAATTTCCCTCTTAAAGGAAAACATCACTTGAAGCTGGGTGCAGGGGCACTTGCTATAATCCCAGCAACTCAGAGGCTCAGGCAGGAAGCTCTCAAGTTTGAGGCTAGCCTGGGCAACTTAATGAGACCTTTTCTCAAAAAGGGCTTGGGAATATGGATCAGGGAAGAGCATACATGGATTAAATTCCCAGTACCAAAAAATAATAATAAAAATAAAAGGAGCAGGGGCATAGCTCAGTGGTAGAGCACCCCTGTATTCAATCCCTAGTACCCAAACGAAGTGTTCTGTGAATGGCCTCTTCTTCAGAACCCTGATGCTGTTGATACGGTGTGCTGGAGGCACCTTCCGTGGCCTCTTTGCCTTCTCTCACTCCCCTCTGCTTTCTGCCCCCAGAGACTGGCCTTGATGTACCGAATGCAGGTTGCCAACATTGACAAGTTTGAAGAGAAGCTTCGAGCAGCTGAAGACGAGCTAAACATCGAGAGCAAGGACAGGATCCCAGTTTCCTATAAGCGCACTGGATTCTTTGGAAAGTACGTTCATTGTCCTGGTTGACTCTAGACTACCCCTGACTTGGCTTAGTGCTGTCAGGAGCAAGGTGGAGGCAGGAATCTTGTGGGGCTGGATTCCGGCTGGAGAGGGAGCTACCGGCCTGCTGGACCGCCTCTCGGTCTCCATCTGCAGTTGCCTGTGGTGTTTCCTAACTCAGCAMGTTGTCAGTGGCTGTCATAGAAAAATGGAAAAGAAAGGGTGTAAGTGGGAATGTTAAATGTGACGACTTTGGGTTCTGAGAGGAGAAACATGCATAGGCACCTGGCACCTTGGAACTGACAGGTCTATCAGCCTAAGTTTCGTCACTCACATCATTGGCAACCTTGCTGGGGCCAACAAACAAAACAGCACGTTCAAGGCTAGCTTGAGCAACCTAGTGAAACCCTTGTCTCAGAATGTTCCTTTGGCTGGAGACGTGTTCAATCCCTAGCACCAAGAGGAAAACAGCACCTGCCCTAGTTGGCCCTGGTTGTGGACAGTCAGGTACCTGGGTATCTCTACTGCGTGCTCAGTCTGACCTCTCTGGAAACCTCGCAGAGGAGGGAGGTTGGTGAGAGTGGGACTTGCTCTATACGGCTCCCAGGTGCAGGGGTCTCCTTTGAGAAGTTGGTGTGGTGGTTCTGGCTTTGTAAAGTGCTTCTGTCAGTTGCTTCAGTGACACTCAGTGTTCATAACTGCCCCTCTCTCTCACCCAGTGCCCTGTATGCCCTGGGGATGACAGCGGTGGGCTTGGCCATCCTGTGGTATATTTTCCGTCTGGCTGGGATGACGGGAAGGGAAGGCGGATTCAGTGCTTTCGTAAGTCTGTGGATTCGAGCCTGCTGGGCGAGTCCTGGGTGCTGTTGCATATTGTATGCTTGCTGAATCCTTTCCCAGCCAACAAAATAAGGGCAAGTGGAAGTTGGCCTGTGGCAGAACCAGGCCGGAAGCCCGGAAGCCCAGCATGTTTCCTCCTGAGGCTCTCAGAGCTGGCTGGAGGCCCCTCCCCACTGAGCCACTGTGGGGCAGGACGTGCGGTGCTACCTATCTGGTCTTGGCCTCCCTGTTCGGGGGCATTCCTTTTTTTTTTTTTTTTAAAGAGAGAGAATTTGTAATATTTATTTTCTAGTTCTTGGCGGACACAACATCTTTGTTGGTATGTGGTGCTGAGGATCGAACCCGGGCCGCACGCATGCCAGGCGAGCGCACTACCGCTTGAGCCACATCCCCAGCCCTCGGGGGCATTTCTTGAGTGTGCTCTTTCTCCTGTGTCCTCTAGCTCCTGGGGTCTGGGCTAGGGGGGGAGGGAGCACCTCATGGAGGAGCATCCCTGGGTCCACTGAGCATGCACACATTCATTTGTCCCCAGATGAAGGCTCTCACTGTGAATTTTTTTTTTTTTTTTTAGTTGTTGATGGACCTTTATTTTGTTCATTTATTTATACGTGATGCTGAGGATCAAATCCAGTGCCTCTCTCACGCTAGGCAAGCACTGTACCACTAACTCACAACTCTGTCCCCTAGAGGTGTCTTATTTATTTATTTATTTATTTTAAATGTTTTTAGTTGTAGATGGACAATACCTTTATTTATTTATCTTTATGTGGTGCTGAGGATCTAACCCAGTGCCTCACATGTGCTAGGCGAGCACTCTACCCCTGAGCCACAACCCCAGCCCCAAGAGAGGTGTCTTATGGGCTGGGGATGTGGCTCAAGCGGTAGGGCGCTCGCCTACCGTGCGTGCGGCCCAGGTTCGATCCTCAGCACCACATACAAACGAAGATGTTGTGTCTGCCGAGAACTAAGAAAAAATAAATAAATATTAAAATTCTCTCTCTCTCTCTGTCCCCCTCTCTCTCTCACTGTCTCTTTAAAAAAAAAAAAAAAAAGAGAGGTGTCTTTTTTAAAGGCAAATTGCTAGACAACTTTCATACTGATTAACAATGAAACCGATCCCTTCCTCCCGTGTGAATGAAGAGTGGCCTGAGTGGCCCAGGAGCCCATCTGTCCCATGTGAATGGGGGAGTGAGCGGGTCCCAGGGACTGAGGGGGGAGGTCCACCTTTATGGAGGCGTGGGGGAGGAGGGTTTCGTGTCAGCCCAGCTGGACGGTAGCTGCTGGCTCCCTCTCCTCTCTCCAGTCACAGCTCCCTGCCTGTTGCCATTTCCATGTAGAATCAACTCAAAATGGCTCGTTTCACAATTGTGGATGGGAAGTCAGGGAAGGGCGTGAGCTTCCAGGATGTGGCAGGAATGCACGAGGCAAAGCGGGAAGTCCGAGAGTTTGTGGACTACCTGAAGGTGAGTAGATGTGCATGCCTTCCCTCCAGAAGGCCTGGAACCACGGTCAGGACGAGGCCTGGATGCTGGCCTCCCCGTCCCACAGGAACACCACACCTGTGCTGGTGTCTGTCCAGCAATAGCACTAGCACAGCGCAGGGCTAGCCACCTCAGCTGCCCTGCACCCCTGGTCACCATGAGCCCTGAGCCATGGTGACGGTGGCGTGAATTGCCCTGCGTGGACCCCTTAGCGTCCCTGGGACAGAGGCTTAGTGTCATGTGTCCATTGCTCTCTAGAGCCCGGAGCGCTTCCTTCAGCTTGGCGCCAAGGTTCCAAAAGGTGCACTGTTACTCGGTCCCCCTGGCTGTGGGAAGACACTACTGGCCAAGGCAGTAGCCACTGAAGCCCAGGTGCCCTTCTTGGCAATGGCCGGCCCGGAATTTGTGGAGGTCATTGGAGGTAGGTATGGGTCAGGGCTGAGGACAGGCCATTGATCACATGTCTGAGCTGGTTCTTTGAGACACTCTTCCTCAATAGCTGGATTGAAGGGGGAGCCACTAGAATTAAAAAGCAGGACCTGTATCCTTGTGGTAACCTGGGAGGTCAGGTGGTCAGTGCCCTTCGCCTGCATCTTGGGGGGCTGGGAAGATATGCCACTGGTCTGGCCACCCCGGAGCCACCCCTACTGGTGTGTGTCCACTGGGGGACCTGTGTGGATGTGGGCCTCCTTGGCAGACAGCTTTGCTGGCCTCAGCCAAGGTAGGATGTGTTTCTTTGTCCATTTCCAACGCTGTCTGCAACCCCTCAGGCCTAGGTGCTGCCCGTGTGCGTAGCCTCTTCAAGGAAGCCCGTGCCCGAGCCCCCTGCATAGTGTACATTGATGAGATTGACGCCGTGGGCAAGAAGCGCTCCACCTCCATGTCCAGCTTCTCCAGCACCGAGGAAGAGCAGACCCTCAACCAACTCCTGGTTGAGATGGATGGTCAGTGCTCAACACGCCCCTCCCTGTCACACACCTGGGGGGAGACTGTCCCACTGTTTTGAGGCTTTCTGGGTAGATAGTGCTGGTCAGTCAGCGTCTAGAGTAGCACTATGAGAGGTTTTATTTCCCTCAGTAGCTGTCTGCCTCTCCTGCGCTGGTGAGGACAGGGTCATCCTGAGAGCATCCTCTGGCTGTCGGCACCTTGCAACATGTTAGTGGACACCTGTCTGTCACTGCTGCCCTCAGGTAACTCAGGTCTGTTGTGGCAGCCAAGGCAGTAGTCTAGCAAGAAAGCCAGGGCCTCGAGGGCCACCTGCTGGCGAGGAGGCCACAGCCTGGTTTCTGCCCCCCACTTGTCACAGGCTGCCCAGGGCATGGGGGTGTGGCTGTGCCGCACCCTGGAAGGAACTTCGGGATCAGCCTTGCAGGGCTTTGCTTTTTTTTTTTTTTTTTTTTAATATTTATTTTATAGTTCGTAGTTGCACACAATACCTTTATTAATTCATTCATTCATTCGTTCATTCATTCATTTATTTTCTTGTGGTGCTGAGGGTCGAACCCAGGGTCTTGCATGTGCTAGGCAAATGCTCTGCCACTGAGCCACAGCCCCAGCACCACTACCCCAGCCCCAGGCTTTGCTTTTCTTTGAAGTCAAGATGACCCAGTGAAGGAAAGTTGAAGTCACTTTTCCTTTGAGCTACTTCCACTGACCCTTATCCCTGCCCCTCTTTTAAAAATTTTTTATTTTGATGCAGGGTCTCACTAGGTTGCTTAGGGTCTTGCTGAGTCTCCCAGGCTGGCCTAGAACTTGCTGTCCTCCCACCTCAGCCTCCTGAGCTGCTGGGGTCACAGCTGTGGCCCCCATTTCCAGCCACTTGAACCACTTATGTGTAGTTTTGTGGCATTGAGTTGGTTGCCCACATCCACTGTTCACACCCCACGTGCAGCTCTGCCCATGGCACGCTGGCTCCCTCCTGCCCACACAGCCCTGCATTTTTTCTGTGACTTTGGTGACACTGAAAGCCTGGTGGGTGGGTCATACAGGTTTGTCTTGTGTGACAGGCACATTTCACTCAGCACAGTGTCCTGAAGTTCCCCTGTGGTGTGGTGTGTGTGTCCTGCAACCCCTCCAGAAGACCCAGGCCGCTGTGTGCCTGGCTGCTGTGAATGCAGGTTGCCCTCAGTTTCTGCTCTGAAGGTTTGTTGTTAATGTCTTTTATCAGAATTCTGTTTGCCTGTGGGGGCTGTAATTCTTTTTTTTTTTTTTTTTTTAAGAGAGAGAATTTTTAATATTTATTTTTTAGTTCTCGGCGGACACAACATCTTTGTTTGTATGTGGTACTGAGGATCAAACCCGGGCCGCACGCATGCCAGGCGAGCGCGCTACCGCTTGAGCCACATCCCCAGCCCCAGGGGGCTATAATTCTTAAGGTGTGATTATTGAGGGGAGAGCCCTCCTGTGTTCCGGAAGCTGGCGTAGTAATTGGCAGCAGACAAAGACAGACACAGACACATGCACATACACAAGTGCTTGCCTGGTGTAGCAACATGCTCGTTTAAAATAACATGGGCTTTCAAAAACTGGCAGCACTTGTAGACGTTCCCTTGTACCTGACCCAAGCTATCAAGGCCAGGATATGGTGTCCACCTGCCCACTGCCCGTGTCTAGGGCTGCCTGTGGCTCCAGGTGTCTGAGCAGCGGTCCTGCTCCTTGGGTCCCTCCCTTCCCTGGTTTTGAGATTGATTTCCCTTGCAGAAGCCCTGAACTTCCTGTTCTGGCTGTGGTGTCCTCAGGATCAGGGTGGGGCTGTGCTTGATGGGACTCCTGACACACCTCGTCCCTGGGGTGGGCTCTGGAAGAGTTGGACCCCTTCCTCATGCGGGTCTCATCTGGTGCTCAGTTGAGCGTCTGTCCCTGGGCTGCTGTGACCTTAGGTGGACCACTGAATGTGGAAGCACTGGTGACCTTAAACCCTGCATGATTCCTGACAGTGATGAACAAGGTGGTGCTGTGGGTTTTATGAGTTCATGTGGCCTCTGGCGCTGCCCCACACCCTGCCTCCTGCTCCTCTTGTCCGGTGATTCACAGGTAGCTGTGAGCACCAAACCCAACAGCCACCTTCCACACCAACAGCAAACACTGCTGGGAGTCGAGTCCCCAGAGAACAGGTGTTCTCAGAGGTGAGGGTGCAGTGGCTCAGGTCCTGAGAGCCAGTGCTGCTAGGGAGCCCTCAGAGCATCTTGCAGGCCAGGCCCAGGGGCTGAGGATTCATCTGTGCCCCATGCCTTTACAGGGAGGGGTGCTAGCTCTGCCCTTCTGCGTGTCCACTTCCCCTGGGAAAGCCAGACCTGCCACTGAGAGGGTGTTGAGAGACTCTGCCCCTGTGCTGTTGCTTCTCTAGGCCTCCGTGGTCCCCTCGTGTGCGGCAGGGTGTGGTCCTGACTGGCTTCTCGAGGCTGTGTCTCTGGCAGTGTGGCCTGGCTCAGACAGTGTTCTGGAGGTTACTTGAGGACCCGTGGGCAGCTTGGAGTCTTGAAGAACAGTTGAAGGCAGTGTGGGCTCAGGCACAGCGGTCTTGTGACCACTGACAGGTGGAGGGCGCCAGGAGCCGCCACGGCCAGGCCTGCCTGGTGCTGACCCTTCAAAATCTTCTCGTCAGCCCCAAACACCAGGTAACTCCTTCATGAGCACCAGACTGAGAGCACGGCTGGCTTTTGTGGTGCTGACGGACGTTGAAGTACAGCCGGCTAGAAGTCTTGAGATGACTCGATGGCCATGTGCACCTCAGCGTGGGCCTCACTGGAGATGAGGGCGAAGTGAGCTCCGTGTCTCCTCAGGCTCCAGCAGACAGCCTCCCAGCAGCACTGTACCAGAGCCATGTCCCACCGCCTTGTGGGAGTAGCAACTTGCCTGGAGTAGCAACTTGTAGATGTTCCCTTGTACCTGCCCCAAGCTGTCGAGGCCAGGATATGGTTGTGGAGTGAGGCTGCAGCGCATCCTGTGGTGTGGTTCTGTGGTCTGCACGTGGCCCTGCATGCGTGGGTGAGCACACAGGCTCGGGGTACCTCGCTCAGCTGGCGCAGTCTTCACCCTGAGGCCCACCCACCTTCCTCAGACCCGAGCACTGCAGAGAACATGGCCTCCAGGCAGAGCCTCTGTACTGCCAAGACTGTCGCTTCAGGGGCGCAGGCGGGGGGAGGGGGGTCCACCTGCAGCCCACTGGCGAAGGCCTGCTCTGGAGTGAGGCGAGCACCTGCAAGTGCCTCTGTGCCACGCAGCTGCATGTCCACAGCCCTTCAGAGGCAGACCTGGAAGTGCGGAGGAGGCAACTGAGGGAGGGACGCCTGGTCCTGGAGAAATCGCAGGGGAGGGGAATCGGCCTGGAGGCCTCGGCACAGGGGCACCAGCATCTGTGGGGTTGTTGGGCAGCTTGGGGAGGGAGCAGCGGCCACTGGCCTGAGCACTGCATGGCCACCTGGGGCCAGGTTCATAGAGTCCTCCTGCAAGTGTTCATGCCTTGTGCTGGACAGTAACCGGTGTGTTGTGGACTCTGGTCCCACGTGGGAGTCATCAGAAAATCCCTAGGGCCTGGGGGTTGGCTCTGGGACAGCTCGCCTGCTAGCGTGAGGCCCTGGTTTGGTCCTGAGCACAACCAGGAGCGGAGGGGATCCCAAGGTCCTGAATGTGGTTACCGCAGTGGTGAAGCCAGGCAGACAAGCATGAGGAAAGGCTGTTGGGAAAATGCAGAGCTAGGACTTAGGACTAGGAAGTAATAAAGTACCTGCTCTGTAGTGTGTGTCATAGGCTTTGTCCCTTCCAGGCAGCTACTGTGGAATGCCAAGAGGGCCCTGGCAGCAGCGGTGCCCCACCCATGTCCTCACAGCCTTTGGACCCCAGGCTTCTCCCCGCAGCCCTGCCAGGTGGGTAAGACAGGCAACTTGTGAGTGATGCAGGTGACCCACTTTACCACTCATCAGTCCCAGAAGGTCACTGACACTACTGTTTATGCCAGGTCAGGTGGTGGCCCAGGTCCAGGTGACTCTGGGGTGTGCCCAGGCTCAGAGCACTTGGATCACGCTGGGGTTCCACAGTATGTGCTCCACCCAGCAGCTCCTGGCCCAGCTCAGCCCTGGGGTCAGGTGCACGCTGAGGAGCTGGGGTGGCTGGCATCCTAATGCCTGGCTAGGAAAGAAGGGACCTACTGTGTCATGTGCAGGTCCTGCTTATAAAATTGTTTGGCTTTGTTTTGCTTTGGTAAAACCTTAAGAGCAATTTAGGAAGACCTGAGTAAGTAGTGGAGGATTGTCAGAGGTGACAGCAGGGAGCCTGGGACGCTAGGGGAGGGGATAGAACAGGATTGGAGGCTGCAGAAGGATGTGTTCCTCCCTGTTAGTGCCTTCCTGAGTACCTGCCATTGTGGCTGTGACAAAGGCCCCAGGGCCTGCAGGAACTGCCCTGGCTTTGCTGCTTGTCGACCTCATGGTGCAAGATGTGCCACCTTCTGTCCTCTGCGCACGTATCTGCGAGAGCAGGTGGGGCTTGTTGTCTAGACATTGCCATGTACCCCTGAGGCCACTCGAGCCTGCTGGGCTCCCATCTGGGAGGATAGTGGGGGCAGTGAGGCTGCAGTGGCAGGTCTGTCTCCAGATGGGCGGGCACTGTCCTAGGTGCCTCTCTCCCTGAGCCTGGGAAATCCCAGAACCCAGGAGAAGGGCAGCCTAGAGCCTAGAAGGCCCTGCACAGCTGTTGTCTGCATGGGCTGCTTTCACTGTGGGGTTCTGAGGATGCTTCATGGGCTCCAGGGCTGGTCCTTGTCAGGGTTGGTGCTGGTGTTCTTGAAGTGTGTGGCTTGTCCTGTCCTCCCTTCCAGGAGGTCCTCTGACAGAGCACAAGTTACTTGTTTTGATGAAGCCCAGTTTGTTGCCTTTGCTTTTGTGACTCTTCCTTTTAGTGTGAAGTCTAAGAACTCTTTGTTGTTCCTAGATCCTAAAGACTTTCTCATGTGTGTTCCCCCTCTACTTGGTGCTAGGGATCAACCTAGAGTTCATGCATGCTAATCGTGAGTTTCTTATAAAAAAAAAGAACTTTACATTTAAATTTGTGATCCAACCTGGGTGCAGTGGCTCATGCTTACAATCCAGTGACTTGGGCTGGGCCGGAGAAGGCAGGAGGATCACAAATTTGAGGCCCTGTTTAGCAACTTAGTGAGATCCTGTCTCAAAATAAAATTAAGCCAGGCACTAACCCTAATCCCAGTGACTCTGGAGGCTGAGACAGGACGATCATTAGCTCAAATCCAACCTCAGCAACAGCGAGCCACTAAGCAACTCAGTGAGACGCTCTCTCTAAATAAAATACACAATAGGGCTGGGGAGGTGGTTCGGTGGCTGCATGCCTCTAAATTCCATCCCTGGAACCCCCAAAAATAAAATATAAAAGGGCCGGGAGCGGGGCTGGGGATGTGGCTCAAGCGGCAGCGCGCTCGCCTGGCATGCGTGCGGCCCGGGTTCGATCCTCCAGCACCACATACAAACAAAGATGTTGTGTCCGCCAAGAACTAATAAATAAATATTAAAAAAAAAAAAAAAAAGGGCCGGGAGCCAGGCACAGGGGTGCACACCTGTAATCCCAGCAGCTTGGAAYGCTGAGGCAGGAGGATTGCTAGTTCACAGCCAGCCTCAGCAAAAATGAGGAGCCAGGTGACTCCGTGAGACTCTGTCTCTAAATAAAATGCAAAATAGGGCTGGGGATGCCCCTGAGTTGAAACCCTGGTTCCAAAAACAAAACAAAACAAAAAAACGCTGGGGGTCTAGTGCAGTGGTTAAGTGCCCCTGGGTTCAGTACCTGGTACAAAAAATAAAAAGCTAAAGGTGTTTCCTGTAAGCTCTCATAGACTGCCTGAACACATCACTTGCCGGCAGCAACTTAAAACAAGGTTCCTTCCAGAGGGTGAACATGAGACTTTTCCTTGTGTCTGGTGCAGTGGTGGATCTTGGGACCATACTGACGGAAGAAAGCCAGTCTCGAAGGCAGCGGTCCTGCTAGAGGGTGGGTGGCGATGGGCATCTGCGTCTTGCTAAGTCCACTGTGGAAACCCTGCGTGTGGGAGAGGCATGACTGGACGTCCCCACGTGGTTCTGACTGCACTACTGCTGCCTGAAGAGAGCTGCAGGGCAGCTGGGCAGCTTGTGTGTGTGAGGCCGAAACAGACAGCTTTAGAGAGCAGGGACCAGCCCCGGGCGGTCTGCACCGCCCAGCGCACCTCTGTGGAGCCCCCCCCCCCCCCCCCCCGCCCCTGTTTCTCTGCACCATTGTGCCTGTTACCCTGCACGTTTCGCCACTCTCCTATCATCTCAGGAGTCCTGGGCCCCTGATGAGAGGCCTTCCAGAATCCTGAGCACGAAGCCTGGCCGGCCTCCCCAGGCAGGGCCGGGTGAACTGTGCAGGCCCCTGGCTGTTCAGCATCTGCCAGCCTTCAGCCTCCCGAGTCCTCCCTGTGTCCTCTCTGCCTACACCCAGGCATCAGCGGCAGAGCACAGAGGCTGGGGCCGACTGGGCTCCTTTCAAAGCCAGCCTCCCTTCCACCTTCCAGGCCTGGCCCTGCTGCTGGCAAGGTGGCAGTGTACCTCAGCCTCCCCTCTTGAGAGGTAGATGACAGTGACAAAGCCGTCATGGTCCTGGCTTGTCAGGTTGCAGGCTGTAGGACAGGGGACATGGTGCTGGGAGAAGGTTCCTAGCAATTCTGGAGGACTTTGGGAGCAGGCTTTGTGTTGGCTTCCGCCTCTGTCCTGGCCACTGCCATCCCATGAAGGTTGGGGATGGCAGCCTTTGGCATGGTGACCGGGCCCCTGGCCCAGGCTTCGGGGCTTCACTGTCCAACCTGTATACAGAGCTGGTTAAGGACAGAGGGCAAATCTGACACACCTTCAGGACCTCACTCTCTAGGATTTCTTTTAAGTTTCACTTTCATTAAAAGGTTGTCAGCAATTTAAAATTAGTTCATGACAGTTTATTAGGGATTTCTTAATTTGCAGAAGAACCAGGTGCAGTGACACATGCCTCTAATCCCAGGAACTTGGGAGACGGAGCCAGAGGATCCCAAGTTTGAGACCAGCCTGGGGAATTAGCAACACCCTGTCTCAAAAGGGGCTGGGGTGTAGCTCAGTGGTAGAGGGCTTGCCTAGCACGCAATGAGGCCCTGTATCCAGTCTACAGCAGCACAAAAATAAATACACAGATACAGATACCACAGCATCTTTACATGCTGAACTTTGTGTCAGAGAACTTTTCACACACACCCAGGAGCAAAGCAAAGGGGGCAGTGAGCCTGTGTCTGCCCCACATGCCTCCTCTGCCCACCCTTCCCACTCCCTGCACTCCCCAGCAGATGTTGAGTCTTGAATCTCGCATGCTCTGCATATGTCTGTACAGTCAGGAAAACTCAGCGTCCACCGAGCTCTCCAGGTTCATAGCATGGGATGCCCACCAGGCTCAGGTTCCCTGCAGCTTCTGTGCCAGTGGTCTATTCCCGTCAGGTCCAGTCAGAGTTCACACACACAAGGGTCATGGCCTGATTCTGAAGCCACTTCGACTTCTTGAGGGAGAAACAGGCCAGGTGTTAAGGCACAGTGCTAGTGTGCAGGGCAGACGGCTGCAGCGCAGGAGAGGAACGGGCACCTCCAGGCGAGATGGCAGGATCCCATCCCCTGCGGGCCCCACTCGCCCTGCCTGACCCTCAGTGGATGTGGGACACTTCTGACTTTGCAGACCCTCAGGGGAAGTGACTGTATTTGGAAGGCAGGAAGGGCTTCACAGCTCAAGTCCAGAGGGATGTGAGTATGGCTTTCTCACTGGGCCTGAGAGGGGAAGCCACAGGGAAAAGCCACTGTGTCTAGGCTTCCCACGCTGAAGGCCAAGTGTCCACTCTGTCTCCTCAGGGATGGGCACCACAGACCATGTCATTGTGCTGGCATCCACAAATCGAGCCGACGTTTTGGACATGGCTCTGATGAGGCCCGGCCGACTGGACCGTCATGTCTTCATTGACCTTCCCACATTGCAGGTCAGCACCTTCCTCCACGGTAGGCTGCCAGGTGCCTGGCGCTCCTTCCCTCTGGGTTGGGGCTTGGTGTGACCTGCTACAGCTCTTGCTGGGTGCCAGCTGCCCACCGTCCCTGACTCCTGCTCTCTCAGCTTGGCAGCTTGCTGGTGCTTACCCACTGTTCTGTCCTCATCCTTGGCATTTGGGCTTGACAGGGCTGGTTGACTTGTTTGACCAATTTTCTGAGACKAGATCCAGGGAAGGAAAATCTGGGATTTTTTTTTTTTTTCCTGGGGGGGGTTGCTTTTTCTTTCTTTTTTGGCCCTGGGGATTTAATGCAGGTGCTATACCACTGAGTCACATCCCAGCCGTTTTAGTGTTTCAGACAGGGCCTCGCTCAGTTGCTGAAGCCTTGCTAGGAAGTCATGCTTGCATGCCGTCTTCCTCTGAGCTCTGTGCAGACCTTGGGATCCTCACCCTTCTTCTCAAGTGCTTGCTTTGCCTCTGTAAGTGGGTGGGGTGGGTGCCCTGGCAGCCCCACAGCCTCTGTGCCACCAAGGGAGCAGCAGCCCAGTGTGCAGTGAGGAGGGTCCTGTGTGCGGGGCAGGAGGAGGGAGGCCTGGGAGCTGGTTAGGTGCTTTGTGTTGCACTACACGGGATAATCCAGAGATGTCTGGCTCTGCGCTGGAGGCTGGCTCCTGACTGAGAAGCATCAGAAAGGTCTAGAACATGCAGTGTGTGTTGTGTGAGAATCAGAAGTTTTGCAAAATAAACTCAGCATTGCTGATGTGCTTCATTTTTGTACTCGATATGTTTCATTTTTTAAAACACTGCTTTCAGCTCTCTAAATTGGTTTTCCAAACCATGGGTGGTGACCTAGGATGCAGCACACTGACTTAAAAGCCAGTGGTTCTTATGAGTCCTTGCAGGTCTTGGTGTTGGGGTGACCCAGCACTGCTCTGTGCCCTTCTGGCGGGCTTGAGTCCAACCTGTGGCCCTGTCTGGCAGGAGAGGCGGGAGATCTTCGAGCAGCACCTGAAGAGTCTGAAGCTCACCCAAGCCAGCAGCTTCTACTCCCAGCGGCTGGCAGAACTGACACCCGGATTCAGTGGTATGTTCCCAGCCTGCGGCCAGTGGGTGGGTGGGCAGTCTCAGCTGCACCTGCAGGTGGTCAGTTCAGGCCTGGGTGAGGCCGCAGAAGGGCCTAAGGGAGGCAGGCCTCTTCTCCCCCAACAGCAGCTCCACTGGCAGCAGGGGTGAGGTCTCCCCGCAGGGTGCACAGGTGATGGTGAGGTCACCTCTGCAGAGGCCCTGCCTGCAGAGCACTGGGGCACCACCTGTGTCCTGCTGTATGGCCTTCCAGGTCAGACGGGGCGCCCTGCCCTGCCCTGCCTGCCCCGCCGCTCCTACCACCCTCACTGGCTTGGCTGTGTCAGTAGAAGTAGCCCGCACAGATCAAGGCTTTTTGAGGCTTTGTGTGTGTGTGTGTGTGTGTGTGTGTGTGTGTGGCTGGGAATTGAGCCTAGGGCAGCGTACCACCGCTGCATCCCTAGCCCTTTATCATCTTTGTTTTTATTTTTATTTTATTATTGTCTTTATTTCTTTACGTCTGGTGCTGAGATCAAACCCAGTCCTTCACATGTGCTAGGCAAGCGCTCCACCACTGAGCCACAGCCCAGCCCTTTCTCTTTTTGCTCCTCATAACAGGATCTCACTACATTGCCCAGGCTGAGCTCTGACTCGTGCTCTCCTGCCTGGACCTCCTGTCACCTTCCCACACTCACTCCCACTTCCTGTGCTGTTCCCCTTTGGCCACTTGCTTTCCCCTCTTCTTTCTCCCTGGAGAACTTTCTTCCCTCCCTTTCCTTCCCATGACCCCCTTGGGGAAGAGTGAGTGCCCACCTCCCACACTGGGCTTGTGTTGACAGGTGCTGACATCGCCAACATCTGTAACGAGGCTGCGCTGCACGCCGCACGGGAGGGGCACACATCTGTGCACACCTTCAGCTTTGAATATGCAGTGGAGCGTCTGGTGGCTGGTATGATGTGCGCCCCTCTCTCTACAGGCCTGGGCCTAGAAGTACCCAGGAAGAGGCCAGTCACACAAGATGCGAGAGCAGAGGCAGGCAGGTGGCCAGTGCAGACGCAAGTTTGCTTGGCCAAGCAGCCGGGAGTGTTGCTTTTCTAAGCTAAAGACACTGCATGCTCACATAAGTGCAGACGGGCTCCCCAGGCAAATTCTAAGATACTCTGCACACCGAGCCGTGACAGTGTGTCCAGCCACTGTGTGGTGGCTATGAGCCACTGCCCACTGGACCAGGCCCAAGCATCAGTGGTGTTAGGGTGGGTGGAGGCAGCCTGCCCGAGGGCAGGGAGGGGTGTATACACCTTGCTACTGGCAGGGGTGTCGCAAGTGTGCCCCGCCCCTCAGCAGGGTGGGAGGCCCAGGGCTGACTGCAGCTCCTCAGGGTGGGGTCCAAGGCTCTCTGAGGAGAGCAGGACTGCACCTGGGTGAGGTTAGAAGCTGCTTAGCTCTGCTGGCAGCCTCCACACATGGTCCAGGCATGTTCTTGTCGTCAGGGCTCGGATGATTACAGGAGCCCAAGACATGCCAGTCTCTAGAAGAAGCCTCCTTGCCAGTGTCAGAGGAGCTCAGGCCTCCCTTGTGTTCCAGCCCTGCAGGAAGCACGTCCCGGTGACCCTCAGTTTGAGTGCATTCTGGACACATGTCACCCAGGTCCTCAGGGTCACAGGATGGAAACACACAGAGGACAGGATTGGAGCTGCCTGGTCTTCCTGAGAGTTTGTTCTATATGACCATTATGCAAAAGGCGATAAGCTTTCAGTTAATAGCATCCTAGCTGATAAGACCACGGGAACAGTCTACTAGAGAAGGCGCTCACAGGACACAGTGTGCTGGCCCTGTCTGTGGGTTCCCGGCTAGTCCCTACTGAACGTGCAGCATGCTGGTTCAGGGGCATCCATTCTGTGAGACCTCTGGCCTGTGGCCTCAGGCTTACACCCCTTTGGTCAGCTGGGTAGAAGTGATCTTAGCAGCCACTGCCAGCGTGTTCTAGATGGGTTCAGTCTCACAGTGAGAGGGGGTAGAGGCCCAGTTGCATGCTGCACTAAATACTGTGCACGGAGTGGAACTGGAAGGTACCTGAAAGTCGAGGACAGTGGATGGAACTGCCCCAGAGGGGTGAGCCAGGGAGAGGTGAACAGACCCCCCCTAAGGAAGGGGCACCCGAGGCAGAGCTGCAGTGGGCCCAAGGGAGCACAAGCAGAGACCCCAGCCCTACAGGCCCACCAGGGCAGGGAGAGGCTCACTGAAGGGTGGCACTTGTCCCTAAGGTCTACAAACACTGGACAAATCCAGCATTTGTCAAAGAAAAAGATGAGACCTCCTGCCACACCCTCCTCAGAGGAGGTGCCCCGAGTGGCAGTTGTGGGTGAGAGGGGGCTGAGCCACAGCCAGTGCCGAGGCCCTGGGGTGCCCTGGGACTGAACTCCATTCTTGTCATGCTTTCAGGGACTGCTAAAAAGAGCAAGATCCTCTCCAAGGAGGAGCAGAGGGTGGTCGCCTTTCACGAGTCAGGCCACGCCTTGGTTGGCTGGCTGCTGGAGCACACGGAGGCTGTGATGAAGGTAGGTTGCAGGTGGCTTGGGAGAAGACCAGGACATGCCATGTGCGTCTGTGCTTCCTGAGAACAAAGCATGTGGGGTTTGCTGTCAGGTTCCAGACAGTGGCAGACACAAGGATGCCAGAGGCAGGGGTGGGTCTGGCATCTGAACCACAGCTTTAGCTCTGGACATGACCAGGGCCACTACCCTTGCCTGCCCTCAGCTTCACAGTGACAAGCTCCATTCACTGAAGGCTCTGAAGTGACAGACATAGAGTTGAGCTCAGCATTCAAGGGAAAAATTCTCTGGTGAGCAGTCCGGGCTTGAGCTTGCTCCTGTCTAATGGTGTTATCTTGTAGCACCTTCCACAGAGCAAACAGGCAAGTCTGAAGGAGCTGGAGTGACCGTTAAAGCAGCTCTGACGGTTGGGGTGTCCACGATGGCAGTTTGGTTTGAGGTGTATGCTCAGGGGCAGCTGCTCTGTGGAGACACCTCAGCCCCTGGCCAGCTGGCCCTGGCCAGGCCCCCCTCACTGCTCTGTAGTTCACTGTAGCAGATTATTGTCAGGGTCATGTTTGAGCAGCAGCAGGCAGTCCCTCTATGTCTCGGGGAGCATGAGAAGGCTGGTTCTGTGGCATGCTGCCCAGTGGATGTTTCCACTGGCTATTAAGGTGTCCAACAGGCACTGAGTGATGGGCCAGGCCCAGGGTGAGGAACAGGGCACTCATGAACTCAGCAGTGAAGCCAAATTTTGTTTATTTATTTATTTTTTAAAGAGAGAGAGAATTTCAATATTTATTTTTCAGTTTTCGGCGGACACAACATCTTTGTTTGTATGTGGTGCTAAGGATCGAACCCAGGCCGCACACATGCCAAGCGAGCGCGCTACCGCTTAAGCCATATCCCCAGCCCCAGCCAAATAGTATTTAGAAAATTAAAATTCATGCAGAAAAACTTGGGCTGGTGTTGTGGCTCAGTGGTAGAGCGCTCGCCTAGCACATGCAAGGCCCTGGGTTTGATCCTCAGCACCACATAAAAATAAATAAGTAAAATAAAGGTATTGTGTCCAACTACAATTGAAAAATAAATATTAAAAAAATAATAAAATTCATGCAGAAAAACCCATGATGAGCTGTGTATAGTGGTTGCACACTGGGGAGTTTTGTTGACTTGGGAGGCTGAGGCAGGAGGACCACAAACGGTCCCAAGCCTGCCTGGGCACTATTGGGACACCTCAGAATAAAAGATGGAAAGGACTGGGGTGTAGCATAGTGGTAGAGCACCCTGGATTCCATCCCCAGTACAGAGCAGAAAAAAGCAGAAACAGCAAAGATCTGTGGGAACGAAGCATCAGGATTTCAGATTTCCTTTCCTTTTCAGGATAGTTTGTTGGCTGCGAGTCAGGTGACCTCCTTGTGTTGTGAGACTGCTGATGTGGTTGTCCCTATGAGCGTGACTGCAGCAGTCGTGATTATCAAACCATTARTTTGGTTTTAGATGATTTGGGGCCTGGGATAGAACCCAGGGCCTCCAGGCCTCCACCGCTGAGCTAGAACTGCAGCCCTGGTTTCAGACGTTAACTAACCTCTCTTCTGACTCCTCCCTGACCTCTGTAGGTCTCCATAGCACCTCGGACCAATGCCGCCCTGGGCTTTACTCAGATGCTCCCAAGAGACCAGCACCTCTTCACCACAGAGCAGCTGTTCGAGCGGATGTGCATGGCCCTGGGTGGTCGAGCAGCTGAGGCGATCTCCTTCAGCAGGGTCACTTCGGGTAGGGCTGGCCCACAGGATCTGGAGATGTCAGAGTGGGGTTGGGTTACAGCCTTGGGTTCTGTGCACATGATGGGCTAAATCTGGTGCAAGACCTCAGTGGTGCAAGGGCAGTTTATTTCATTCACTGTTTGTTTATTTATTTGGAGGGTGGTACCAGGGATTGGACTCAGGGGCACTCGACCACTGAGCCACATCCCCAGCCATTTAGAGACAGGCTCAGCCTCAGCCTCCCCAACTACTGGGATTACAGGCATGTGCCACTGCACCCAGCCAATGCACTTGTTTTTAAAAGTTGAGCTGTTGCCAGAGAAGATTGGGAGCTAAGCAAGCCCCCCCCCTTTTTTTTTTTTTTAGAGAGAGAGAGAATTTTATTTATTTATTTATTTATTTATTTATTTTAGAGAGAGAGAGAGAGAGA